CACCGTCCCCTCTGTTAACGGAGAGGCTGGGGCTTCTCAGGGGGCGAGCTGGGAGCTTAAAAGAAGCTTTTTAAGGCTAGATTGTGCGTTGGCTGCAGGGGTGTGGCACCTCGGGTGAAGAGGAGGGTATCGTTTGCTCTGGCGTTTCGCCGTCCTGCCGCCTGTCTCAAGGTCTATTGTATTTCCTATGTGAACAGGTTTCCATGATCCTGGGGTTGTGCCAGCCAGGTGGTCAACAGCCACTGCTTATAGACTTGGCAACCTCTTCTGCACCCTATTTTCCTCCTACGCGCATGGGGAGCGAAGGTATTCTGATCCTGTAGTCCCGGGTGGGATACGTGTTCAGTGCAGGTAGAACGAGACTGTTGTGCCTTTTTTAGTAATATTTTTTTGCAGTTGTTCTTCTGCCGTGTTTGATTTTTATCTGGCTGTTTGCTCTTTAGGTTGTTACATTCCACTTTAGGTGTATTTCTGTAAAAGGAAATTCACAGTTCCAAAGATGAAACAACACAGTAATACTAATAAAGGTTTTCTTCTCTTCAGGTACAGGCAGCTCCCCAACAAGTGGCGGAAGACAAATTTGTATTTGATTTACCGGACTATGAAAACATCAACCATGTAGTGGTCTTCATGCTGGGAACGATTCCATTTCCAGAAGGAATGGGAGGATCTGTCTATTTTTGTTATCCGGACCAGAGTGGGATGGCGGTGTGGCAGCTGCTGGGGTTTGTCACTAATGAGAAGCCGAGTGCCATCTTCAAAATTTCTGGTCTGAAATCTGGTAAGACTGGTAAAACGTAGCAGTCAGTGAAACAGATGGGTTCCTGCATGCAGAAGGGGATAAATGTTTGAAGGTGGTTTTGAACAAAAAGCTGCTTGAAAAGACAGACCACTGTGCATTTTCAGGTTGTCCCTAGCAGATGGGGTACTCGAAGCCATCTGTCAGCTTCATGGACGTCTGTCTGTCCATTAATGTTCCTAGCAAAATGTCTCACTTGTTTTCTCTTTTACGTGGTGTTGATCTGGAAATTCTTTTGAGCAGGCTTGGCACGTGCTCCAGTGCTTCTGCACAGAGAATCTGAGGCAGAACAACCCTGTAGCTTCCATAGTGTGGTTTTTAGGCATCTGTCTAGACATGCCTGCCACGTTTTCTTTCGGCTTCCGCTGTTAAGCGGTGGTATTCTTTGTAGTGCGGAGACCGGTTTTGTAGTGAGTAAAGTCTGGCGCAGTGATTTCAGCCAGCCGCTTCCCGTTGCGGTGCGGTTGCGCTATGTAGTGCTCCAGTAGAGGGTGTTATTGGAAAGCAGCTTTCCTGATGTTTTAGTATTTTCAAAATAGACCTGAGTTAGAGAAATCTGACTCATTTGGGAGCCAGCGAATGCTGGGGATTCCTGAGGTAGGTGTGGGTGTTTTTTCCTAAATATATGGGGGTTTTGCCATGCATATTATAAAAACGATGAAGTGCCCCAGTGGCACGCCTTTGCCTTATTAAAGGAACAGATATATCAGTCGAGCAGCTTAAAGTGTTGCGGTGATAAAGTAATATACATCTTTTATAGGCTTCAGCGTAGCCTTGAATCTCTGTTTAGGTACACGTTGAGGTTGCTGTGATAAAATGTATTCGTTCATAACGTGGCATGCTTTCTTTTGAGTCAGTCCTGGATGGCAGTGTGACATGAGATACGGGCTCTCAAGGTGCAGAGCAAAATGAATTCTTATCATAAAGTTCCTCAAAAATTCGGGTTTTCTTCAGAAGAGAGAACAGCCACAGGAAGGGGCTTTGGGGGACATGTTTCTGTATGTTCCGAAGTTGTGTTGTTAGTGAGACAGTTAAGCGTATCACTGGTTCTTCTGCCAGCTTTTGCCGTGTGTTTCTCACGTTGGAAAGACTTAACCATATATGCTTTCAGACAGCTGCATAGGAAAACACACTTTCAGATGCTCTTTGCATGATTAGCTGTAATTTCCAAGTAAGGGCTGCTCTCAAGGAAGAACTCCGCAACATAACTGAATGCGTTTGCAATGCCGTGAGGCAGTGCTGTGCTTGATCTGAACAACAGAGACCTCCACCGTTCACATGGTTCTCTACAGCTTCTCTCTGACTGTAGAGTCAGTGTAAGCTACACAGCCTTAGTTTCCATGACCATAAACATGGTGGAGAAGACTTTGAGGCTGTAGGAAGGCAAGACAAGAGAGGGATTAGAGACAGCTGGAGTCGCTGAGAGACATCACTGCCTGTTGAAATCTGCATTTTGGGTTTGACTACCTCAGGCTGGTTTTTTGAGCGGGCTGTTGATAGACCTCATGCCTCTGTGAAATGGGTGAGGAGGAGGAGGGCGAATGTCAATGGCAGGTCCTGCAACAGACGTTGGGGTGCTCAGATGTCTCCTGATTCAGCGTAGTAGGTAGCAGTGCCGTTCTGCGAAGAGACTGAATAAAGAAGTTGAACTAGAGTTTTATCCCCTGCGTAGGAAATACTGGGTGATTATGTTTGTAGCTTGGCTGTTGAGGCTCTGTTCATGTAAAATAGCAGTTTAAAGCTGAGTGGCTCTGCCATGAAGGTGTTCTCAGCCTTGTCACTTTTTCTGGGGGCACTGGGGGTGGCAAGCGAAGCTGTAGGTGAGGCTCATCAGAAACGCAGAGGCTGTGTGGATATTCCTAACTCGGTAGGTGCAGGCTAATGTGAGGATGCCGAGGGCTAATTTGGAGAATTAATAGCAAGATGAAGTTGATGCAAAACCTAATGCAAAACCTAAGGTTTTTTAATTTCACTTGCGCCTGAAAGTGTGGTAGAAGTAGAGGGCGAACCTTGGGCTGGGATTTTGCACCCTTACTGGAAGTAAGTTAACAAGTGGGATGAAACCTAATGTAATAAAGAGACTGCCTGTTACTTTATGAGCTGGAACAGCGTGGAGAGCTTTTACAAGTGTCTGGATTATGTCAGCTCTTTTTTACGTTATTTTAGGAATATGTGCATTAAAAATTATTAGAAAAGATACAATTTTTGTAGCACGGATGCAATGTCTTTTGTGACATTAGCTTGCTTTCCGGGGGTACTATATAGTTGTATTAGTAGCTGTGCTGCAGATTGAAAATACTGTGGAGTGTTGTGTTTGCTTGAACTTAATTCCTTGTTGAGAGGAAGAAATTTGTGCCCCTAATTGTTTGTCAGCCCCCTGTGAAGCCGTGGTTGTGGCAGTGTTTCTTGCTGTGTGATGAAGAGGGCCAGCGTGTTTCTTACGTGGACACGAGCGGGCAGCAGAAGTGACGTAGTGTTTTAGTACACGGACTTTGGGGAAGGCTCAATGTATCATTTGGAACTCTTGTGTTAAGTTTATGCCCTGGGACTGTACAGGTTTGGTGATGTGTGTAACTTGTCGGGGTTGCACATTGTTGTAAGGACTGGTTGGGCTGTTTAATACCACATCCCCAGATCCTGTATTTGACTTCTGGACTATGAGGGTCAAGTAAAATGGCGTTGCCCCAGGGTTTTTTGTTCACTTCTCTGGTCCCTCCTGTCCCGTGCTGACTTAAGAAAGCCAATGCAGGTGAACATTGCAGTGTTTCCAAGTGGGATACCAGAAGGTTGTCTCAATACATGCACTAAAGGGGAAATGGCTTTTGTGGAATACACTCTTCAATGTGAAAAAGTGGTTTGTGGAGTAGAGACTAAATTATGAACCTGGATGCTTGACTACAGGTGCTGTTTAAACTTGGGTAACCTTCTTTGAATAAGAGATTTCCAGATTGGATCTTGAAGGTGCCTTACAGGAATGTCATAGTACCCTCTAAAAGATTCCATAAGAGCTCCTCAGTAATCAGGAAAAGTCTGTTGAATTCTGTTTCATAGTAGGCTCGGTACAAACTTAATATATCTGCAAGCAGGCTTTTCCTTTGTTCTTCTTCTTGATAACTTCTAACCATTCTTAAAAGCTGTGCTGTGAGGCTAGAAGTGCATGTGTGGCTTGTGGGAGTGTTGTGTTTGTTGTTTTTGTTGTTGTTGTTTTGACCCCTGGATTTAGTAGTGAAGTCTTGCATCTGCTGATATTGACTATAAGTGTAGTAGTTAAAGGCTCAAAGTGTCCAGCATTATTCCGTGTTTCTTTCTGAGGACTGAGTATCATGCAGGATGGTGACAGGCTTTGCAATACGCATTACATCTGATTTTTTTTTTTTTTCAGATCCAATCTTCATGTTTGCTGGAAGATTATTAAATCAACTTCCCCCCCACCCCATCAACATTGGTAGTTAGAATTCATGTGAAAAGCTGAATAACATGGGTTTTGGGTTTTTCTGGTCACTTCCCCACCCCACAGTAGGATGACAGTCAACATGTATTCTTTCAGTCTCTTACTCTTCCCACTTACGGATTTTTTTTTTATTACAGGTGAAATGTTTAACAGGCTGTGGTCAAGGAAAAGTAGAATATTTGTGACCTTAACAAAGCTGAGTGACCTCTTTAGTGCCAAGAGGAATAAAGTAGGAATATACCTTTGTGAACAAGGCTGAGTTGCTCTCTTGAAATTGTGCGATTTCTGCCCTTGTGTAATAAACTGCAGCTGCGATCAGACATTGTGGTGAGATCCCTTGGTGCCTGTTCGAGCGGCGCTGGTAGCGCTGACTGTATTCATTCACTGGGCACCACTGAAAAGTGAGTGGCCCCGGCGCCCTGACACCCACCCTTCAGATATTTGTAGGCATTCGTTCGTTAAGGTCACTGGCATTCCTAATGGCATCGCTGTGAGGTTTGTCACTCGGCACAAGGAACTGTGGCCAGTTCGCATGGTGTGACTGAAGAGTTCTAAGTGTTTTGCTTGGGCTCCTGACAACTTTGCAGAGCATGGCTGCTCGTGGAAGGCAGGACTTAGGTTCTGCTGGTGTTACCTACAGGTGGTGTCTTTAGGTCGCTTTGGAAAACCTGTGGATAGAATATTTTGCTGGCCTTCCTTTTCAAAGCAGGAAGTCATGCTGCAGGGAAGCAGTTTGGGCCTGGAGAATCAAGCTTTAGAAAAAAGCTGTTGCTGGCAGTTGTTAGTGCCTTGTCTGTGCTTTCAGATCTGGAGAGGAATAATGGCTGGTAATACTTCAGTGCATGCAATTATATGTTCTTCTCTGACTGTATGTTGTTTTACTGATTAAGAGTAGATGAATTTCGTGTGATTGTGCATAAAGAAGGGGCTTAAAAATACTCCTTGTCTTGCAACTCTAAGATTTTTTAATTTCACTTGTGCTGGAAAGTGTGGCAGAAGTAGAAAACAAACCTTGGGCTGGGATTTTGCACCCTTACTGGAAGTAAGTTAACAAGTGGGATGAAAGTTACAGGATAGCCTTTTCCATTACAGACTTTTTCCACTGTGCAGTGATGCATGTGATGCTCTGCTTTCCACTTACAAATACAGCCTCTAACATACTGTCTGCGTTTGAGGCGTACACATGGGTAAGGTTTTTGACATGGTTGGGCTGAAAGGTAACGAAGGCTCAATATCTTCAATCAAGGGTTCAATACAGGGAAAGAAGGGGGTGGAAAAAATACTTTACTGATTGCAGTTGCTCTGCTGTGACAGCGTGTTGGAGAGTGTAGGGTCTGAATGCGAAAGCCTGAGCTTGTATTTCGGTACGGGTTAACATACTGTGTTCTTTGTATGTGGAAGGTTTGGAATGTTAATTGCAAGAGCCAAGGATTGAAAACGTGCAGTGTATTTCAGCTGGTGTCAGGATGGCAGGGGATGCTTTTCTCTCGCCCTTGAAGGTGGACATCTTTCCAGGAGAGTGGTGCCATGGGAGCGCATACAAAGTGACAGTATTTTTTATTATTTAGATCATGAGTGTCTTTCTAAAGTCATGACACATTCTGATGGAGCCTGTTGTCTGAGGATTTTGCTTCTATTGTAAACGTCAGCTGCTCAGGTGAAGATGTTGCAAGGTGTAAAACTTCTGCCAGCTCTGTTGCTATTGGAATTTTCAGTAGCGCACTTGTGTGATACTTGGTTTCTAATAGCTTTTCTCTTTCTTTTTTAATGCTTTAATAAATTTTACCTTCATCAAGCGAGCCTCTATCTACAGTAAAGGTTGCGATCCTGCAGCAGCGGCATTTCTCAAAAGGGCTTCTAAACAGCACTTCAGGAGATGAACTCTCTGCTTGCTGGCTTTGTGTTAAAGTAACAATTTAATAGTGAGTGCTTTACTCATAAGTGTAGCACTATATTGCAATTGTAGGGTCTGGAGTGAGGAGCGGCACTTGGCTTCGGCTGAAAAGGCTGCTGGGTTTGTCAGTGTGCATTCTGTATGGGTTGGATGGGGGCTTCTTTGTGGCGGTGCCTTGTATCCCTGCAGAAGAATGGTCAAGTTTCTGAGATCTTCAGTCTTGAGCCTGTGAATTAAAGGTTGGTACCTGTAGAGAAAGGTTCTGCTGTCTTTTACGCACAGATCGTATTTCCTGTTGAATCCATTTACTTCATAGAGAGCTTGAAAATTATGGTTTTCCTTTTTTAAGAAATTTCCTTAAGATCTGCTGTGTTTTTTAAACGTACCTATCGCACAGTTCCATCTGTTGTGCTTGTGTGTACTTGTGCCTGTGCTCGGACTGCGTGATTTTTCTGTGTTTCTGAGATAGGGAGATCTCTCTCGTGGGAATTGAGGAATACCTTTGACACAAGAAACACGGTGATTGAAGTAACACAGTCTCTATGTACATGCCAAATCTAACGTGTGCTGTTTGTGGTGCTTTCAGGGAAGGGAAGTCAACATCCCTTTGGTGCCATGAACCTCCCTCAGACGCCAACGGTCGCCCAGATTGGAATCTCAGTGGAACTGCTGGAGAACCTGGCCCAGCAGACTCCTGTTGCAAGTGCTGCTGTGTCATCAGTAGATTCATTCACAGAGGTAGCTTGGACATTCTGTTCTCAGAAGTTCTCTGTCGTACGAAATTCTTTAGAATTGAGCCTCTTAAGAACTAATTAAAAAAAAAAATGGTGCTGTGGGTGGCTATAGGATTGTAACCAACCTAATAATTGTCAAATAATTTGGCTGGATGCTTTGGTATTTTGAAATTGTATTTTCTTGCACTGGAAAACTGTGTCTCCTGTAAAGCATTGGATTGTGCCTGCTCGGTGGAGTGAGGCCAGCAGACTCACTTGTGTCGATGTCACTCTACTGTAAAAGTATTTATGATACTTCCTTATAGGAGCAGCTATGACTAAATGCATGGAAGAGACACTGGATCTTCGGTGATTTGTAAGTGCTGGAACTCCAGTGCGTAGACTTGCAGGGATGGTCAAAAATTACACAAAAGTCAGGGCAGACACGGGCATGGATGCAGACAGATATCCATGTGTACCACTGACCCCTGAGAAATCTTTCTGTTGTCTTTCTGCAGAACTGCAGAATCATGCCCCCTCCCACAGAAAGATGTTTTTGTTTTGTTTTGTTTTCTCAGTTCTTTACCTGTGGACCAGGTAAAAACGTTTGCTGGTTTTTTTTTTTTTACCCAGCCTGTCCATTAGTTTGACCCTCTGGAAATCCTCAGCCAGCACTGGCAGTTCATTGGCCATCTAACGGCAGCTCCAGATCTTCATGGCAGGTCTTGATTTCCCTAACACTGATGGCTCTGGTATTCTCTCTTGACATTTCAGAAGTTGTTGAGGCTTTTCTTAGGCTTTTTTTTCTTATCTTACTCACTTTCCTTACAGATGCTTGCTGAGGTACATTGGTAGTTGAACAGTAACCCTGATAATGTAGCTGATGTCCTTTGGCAGTTTATACGCATAATAGCTCCAAATAGGTAAGGTCTCCTGGAGAAGGTTATTGTGACTAGCAGTTGACCAACAGCTATTTTTGTATGTTTAATTGAGCTTTTCTGGAGTTGTTAGGGGCAAGTGACATTCTAAATGGACAGCAAGACAGGGACTGGGGGAGCAAAAGCAGCGTGGCCAGCAGGTTGAGGGAGGGGATTCTGCCCCTCTGCTGCGCTCTGGTGAGACCCTCCTGGGAGTTCTGCATCCAGCTCTGGAGCCCCCAGCACAGGACAGACCTGGAGTTCTTGGAGCGGGGCCAGAGGAGGCCACAAAAATGTCTGAGAGCTGGAACCCCTCTGCTGAGGAAAGGCTGAGAGCTGAGGCTGTTCAGCCTGGGGAGGAGAAGGCTGCAGGGAGACCTTAGAGCAGCCTTTCAGTACTTAAAGGCGGCTTAAAAAGAAAGACGGCAACAAGGTTTTTAGCAGGGTCTGTTGCGACAGGAGAAGGGGTGATGGTTTTAAGCTAAAAGAGGGTAGATTTAGACAGGATATAAGGAAGAAATGTTTTTACAATGACGGTGGTGAAACTGGCACAGGTTGCCCAGAGAGGTGGTCGATGTCCCATCCGTGGAAACATTCCAGGCCGGGTTGGACAGGGCTCTGAGCAACCTGGTCTGTTTGAAGATGTCCCTGCTCACTGCAGGGCAGTTGCAATAAATGACCTTTAAGGGTTCCTTCCAACCCAAACCATTCTGTGATTCTATGAAATAATATTTCTGATTCCATCAGTTTTTATAATAGTAGTAGTTATGTCATGAGGTCATAATGTGCCACGTAAGGTAATTTGCAACGTGGCTGGTGGATTTTTCTGGCCATAATATTTAAAGAAAAAAAGCCACCTCCTGAACGCATAACATTTTTACAAATATTATTTCCAGTTAGGTGGATTTTTCTATTAAAAAAAGAGTAACATCTTAACTGAAAGTGCATATTGCTTTCAAGGAATGCAGTTCAACAAAAGGTTGAAGTAATCGTTACTCCTTTAGAGAAAACATATAAAGTCATAGTTGAAGGAGAGACTTGAGGGAGTAGATCACAGAGGAAGGGGATATGACTGGGAGCAGGTTTGTGAACGGCCAATAGCTTTCATTTAATACTTTGTCATCTATTTGGAACTGCTACATTATAGCAATAAAAGTATTTTTTTTTAAAGGCAAAATGGTCTCTTGCTTCTCTGAGCTAAGGGGTTGCTCTCCTACTACATTTTTATTACGTTTTATGAAGCTTTATGATTGTGTGTATATATTTATATATAGAGAGAGTTATATTATCAAAAAGATGTGTGGAAAAAGTGGGACAAAACCAGAGAGCCCTGCATATGAATGGGGCGAGACTGAGGGTAGGCTCTGACATTCTAGGACATCGTTTCTTCCACTCCTTTTGTCAGAGCGGGTGGAGGGAAACACAGGAGTGTGCATATGTTGCCCCAGGCTCTGGTTTCCTCCATTCTTTCATGGCCTACGAAAATAGTTTGTTCTCTCACCAAAACAATGCATACTTTTTGTTTAAATAAAAACAATAGAGGAAAGAAGACGGTACCATAGGCTTATTTATTTGTAAACTGAGTGGGAATGTCCTGCAGCCTCATCTGCTGCACCCAGGGCTTGCTGCTTCTTGGCCTTTTTTGCACTTTTTTACTGCCTTATTCCTACAGTTTAGGAGTTTCCTATGCGTCTTGTTTTGTTTTTCCCAGCAAGATCTTGTGGCAGAGGATGCCAGGATAGCAGCCCTTCTGTGGTGAAAGCTAAAGGAAATTTCCCTGTCCCTGGAGTCTGGCGAGTGGTAAGGAGGCAGACCGCAGACTCTTCAGCTGGTTTAACAACCGGTGTTTTGCTGTGAGTTGGAGTGGCAGCTTTGACCTGGTCTACAGTTCTTCCGATGGTTTAATTTGGAGGAGAGGGACAGCTCTTGTCACTGCATCACTACTTTGTCACTAGAAGAAAATGTTCTTCCCAACGCTGTTAATCCAGTTGGATGAAATTGGGCAGGGAGTGGGCAAGTGCCGATTCTGAAGATGAATTCTGGATGGATCTGAAGGCAAGACTGAGTTAGGGTGTGCTGACCAGTTTCAAATGTACATTCCTGAACCTACTATATCCACTTTCCCATTGTGTTTTAGATGGCAATGCTAATGTTACTTCATATAGGAGTTGTGTATCTGTTAATCTTTTGCACAAAAATTCAAACTGAAAAAAGAACTTACTTAAAATGTCTCTTTTTTTATTTCAGTTCACTCAGAAGATGTTGGATAACTTCTATAACTTTGCTTCCTCGTTTGCTGTTACTCAGGCACAGATGACCCCAAATCCTTCTGAAGCTTTCATCCCTGCAAATGTAGTTCTGAAATGGTAATGGCAATGATCCCTAGTCCCAAATGTGCTTTTTTTCTAGGCATTAAACTGGCTGATTTCGAAGTATTGAACTGCTGCCATGCTATTCCGTGAGATGATGCAGAAATGTTTAGAAGGGTCTGTTGTTTTTTATCTCAAGTATAGAGATGTTCCATCCACTGTTTTTGCATTAATTTGTCAGCATCTTGATAGCAATTTTTTATTAAAGTGGTAAACAGCCTCTAAATGTTCTGCTTCTGGAAATGTCGCCCTTGACACGTGTGGAGTTGCACTGCGTTGCTGATGATGCAAACGCTTTGGAGTCATGGGAAGACACAACATGCTGAGACTTGTCAGTTTGTGCGTATTTGTTATGCTTACTCTCTTCCTAGACGTAGTTCCAGCATAGTTACGTTGCTTAAGAATATGGGAGAGGCGGAGAAATCGTGTTCCTAGTTGGCCTGGTTCCATCACCAAGACCCTCGAGCACAAATGCAGAAGTCTCTCAGAGTTGTTCTCCAGGGACTGGTTTAAGAAGCAACTGTCTGGGGGGACAGCGCGTGTAGTCTGGAGACAAACTGTGAACTGCCGGCAGTCACAAATAGGATGTCTGAAAAATTCTTTCCTCCAGTTCAGCCCTCTTCAGCCTCTCCCATATTAACCGAAACCCTTTCAAAACAGTATTTTGGGCTCTCTGCATACAGTTTTATTGTTAGTACAGATCTCGTGAATATGCAGGCAGTTAAGGTAAGCAATGTATTTTCTTTGGGAGTGTAATTTGAAGCAGATCCCTTCTGTTCAGAAGGTACTCTGCGCGCTCCATGAATATGTGTGGGTCAGGTCTCTGATGAGAGGAATCGAAGGGAAGACAGGCTGCAGAAGCAGGGTGATGGCTGCTATTGCCTGGATGTTGCTGCAGTTGCTTTTGGTTGTTCAGAACAGTATAGTGAAGTGAGGTGTAGCTCTAATACACTTAACACATTCATATATAGAAATTTGCTAATGTGATTACAGGACGGAAAACCAATGTTTTCTGGCTCTGTTCATATGTTTGTGAGCCATTATAATGTGTTGACTTACAGTTTGTAATATGTGGAATCTCCGCAATGGGCGGGCTGCAATGGAAATTCAATAGTTTGGCTGAGAAATTCATTCATAAATAAGCCTTTCTCTAATGTCAGTGAGTTTGAAACCCTTTAGAGTCTCTTTTCTCATTTGAGTTGGGGTAGGAACTATGAGATGGAGGAGAACCTTTTCTTGGTTTGTTTTCCTTGTTCCATTGGCAGTACTTTTTGATACCTTACAGCCTGGGTTTGTGGGGATTGAAAGCAGTTTTTAGGCTTTTGTAGCTCAAAGCCTTTCAGTTTTTTTTTTTTTTTCTTTTTTGAAAGTCACAGAAATTGTATGCTTCCCCTGTTTCTTCACTGTAGGTCAATAATGAATTCTGACCTTCAGTGTTTGTGGTTTGCTTGTCTCTGAGTATGGAAAGTGAAATTAGGACAGCATGTGTGCATACATGATTCTGTTATGTGTTAGAGAGTTATTTTTCCTCATTAGGTTTTACTGAAACATTACCATATATAAAAAAAAATGTGGAAGTTAGAATTATTTAGTAAAGGTGGAAAAATAACGGGGACTACTTTCTCTCAAGGTTTCTGTTAGAACTACAAGGCGAATCGATGCATAGCCTTGAGTGCAGAACTCTCTGCAGTCCCCTCGTCCGTACCTGCGAGCCGGTTACCCATCGCCAGCTGGGAAGCGATCCTGGATCAGAGGCTGCGGTCTCTGTGCGAGCTCGTGTCCGCAGTCCAGCGAAGTGCGGAGCTGGCTCTGTGCATCCCCGAGGGGTCCTACAGGGACAGCTGAGCTGGGCGCAGCAGCAGCGGCGTTACCTTGGTTTTCCCAGTATCGCGGCGTGTCCCTAAACGGCACGGGGCTCTCTTGGTTTGGGGTTGGTGGGGTTTCTTCTGCGAGATGCCTGGCCTGAGGACTCGGATAATGGGCAGCCTCAGACTCCTGCTTCTACCTGCTCCAACTTTGATTTCCTGGCCCAAAAAATGTTATGCACAAAACAGCCACTTTTAATTCACTTACAGTTTTGCTAAGCTTGAATGAGCATCCTCGGGGCTAGCACTTCAGTGAGACCCCGCTTGCTGTTGAAGCGCACAAGTCTCGCTGGGAGGATTCTGGAATCAGAAAGGAGGAGTTTGGATTTATTCATGTCCTGGTGTGGAATAGATGTAACTGATCATGTTCTGTGCATAGACCAAAATATTTATATCATTTTTTAAGCCATCATATTTGCAACAGCTTTTGTGTTTTGTGTTGTTTTTTTTTTCCCCCCAGGTATGAGAACTTCCAAAGACGTCTGACACAGAACCCTCTCTTCTGGAAAACATAAGCTTAAATTAATGGTGTCATCTGAAGTGCTTTCTAAGCAGTGCTGTCTGAAAGGTGCACCAAGCAACTCTGGTGAGGAATTTTGGGGGAAAAAAACGATTAGTCTGAATAGACAAACTTGTAACTTTTGTATTACTCCTGAAAATTATTTAAAATTAAAATCCGTGAAAACTACTTGCCTACGTGGTTTTTTTTAATTGGTGTACTTGGCTGTGACAAGAAATCGGTGCAGGCGTGGAAATACTCACTTGAAAGTGCATTTGAAGTGGAGGAAACTAGAAGATGAAAAATGGCAGCACTGTTTTGTACTTGTGTGATGTTTTGGGGTGTTTAGCTGTCAACAAAATAGATGTAGTTTTTCCTTCTTTACCTCAGTCTGAAGGGTGAGCTGAGAACAAGTAGCTTTGAGATGGCCCTTAGGGGCCAGTGCAGAGTTCTAGGTTTGTAATTTGCAGCCCAGGACTGTTCAGTGAGATGAGAGCTGCTAAATTACTGACAGTGGTGGTATTTGATGAATTTGAATATTGCTTTCTCTAATGATGGTGTGAATGACGTGGAGGAGGAGAAAAACAAGCCTAATGGCTGTTAGTACCTGGAAGAGTTTCTCTGTGAGGGAAATGGGTTACATTGAAATTACGTCAAGGATTTGTGGGGTCTCGTTTCCACTGTTTGAGAGGAATCCATTATGTTCTACGTTGAGAACCTCATTGCAGGGCAGTGAACGGAAGCTTGTTTTGACAATCCTGTGGGCTCGCCTTTGAACTTGACTGCGGTTCTACTCGGAACTTACAACAGAACATCTCCGTAGTCTCCAACAACACAAGGAACATTGTTCTAAATTCTTCCGGAAGGGTTGGAAGACGCTGATGCCCCTTCAGCTGGCTATGAGAAGGTATCTTTTCTTCAGTAGTTGCCGCTATTCAATGGTCCAGCTGGCTTTTGAAAAGTAAAACTCTGCCCTCACCTCAGCACCACGCCCAGAGGCAAATTTAAAAATAGAAGAAGCAACAAGTACATGTGCTGCTACTGGGTTTTGCTAAGACAAACCCCAAGAGAAGTAGTCAAAATTCTAATTGCACAGATGGTTTGCTGTAGCTTTTTTTAAATAGTTACAATAATGAAATGAAGCAAATGTTTTTCTG